ATTATTTTGATCATTCTTAAAAATATGACAAATGTTAATAATGATTTACCTTTATTATCAGACTTTTCCATGTTGCTTAAAATTAATTGAAGGTGTATTTTCAATATTTATATGACTTGGTTATTCATGAAAAGATACTACTAATATACTCACCATTTATTCACATTGAAAAAATAATTCCATTATCACAGGAAAATAAAAATAATATACCTACAAGAATCACCCAGTGTCGAGCATTCAGTCATCTACTACTTGTGTACCACTGAGGTGAAATACGCACATTCGCGGGGGTACATATATTCACTGGTGCACTGAATATACGACAGCTTTAGGAATCACAAACACTTAAACATCATTCTGCTGGAACCTCCTGCTCACTTTAGAAATCCCTCCTCAGGCAAATATACAATAAATCTTCACATACAGGTATATCAAAAGGTTTTTTACAATTGGTTTGGAGAAGGGATAAATTTCTTGTCAAATATCTGTATCCTCTAAGCATTAGGAAAACTGATGTTTGCAGAGATCAATTGATATACAAGTTTCTTACATTTTCCTTAATTATAAAATGTTGCAAAGTAGTAGGTTTAATGCTACATTATAAATTATGTGTAAATGAAGGCAGAATCTCATGCAAATTTAAAATGTTATAAATTGAGATGTCTATTATGTACAATACAAAGCTACATCTATGTGATTTGAATTGCTGCCACTTTCCAAAGAATATAACAATCAAGTAATATATGTGTTTCAAATGGAGATTTACCTATGGGTAAAAGCTGAAATAAACTTAGTGTACAAATTTATCATTACCTGTTCTATACTATCAAACTTTGCAATAAAGAAAATGTCAAGAATAAAATACTGAACCACACTATATGTTTTGATTAAATTTTGTGAAAGGAATATGCCATTCTGGCAACAATCTCTACAGAATACCAAACAGAAAATGTCAATACTTGTACATGTACAGTCATTACCTACCATGCCATCTTTAATAACCAACAATAGGCTAATATTATTTCCATGGACATAGTTAGCAGAAAGATGTGTATATATATTTTTGACACACAACAATATAAACTTTCTGAAACACAACTGCATGAAGTATACGTCACATATATCATATGAGCAAGAATGTTACCTATAGGCATCAATTATTGGGCTGGACTGAAGTGCTTGAAAGATACAAAGACATAAATTTCTTTTTCAGTTTTGTGGATATTCAAGCACAAAAGTAGAAATCACTAACTGCAAAGCTGCTCTGTTTATAGGGACCTCTAAATGAAGCCAAGATAAAATCCATCAATAAATATTCCTTCACAGTATTTAAGACTTTCCCTGTATCCTTCCACTGAATTCCCTACACCTCTCCCTATTTTTGTCAGATATTGTATTTTTTTGCAAATATATATACAAAACATATGAATTTTTTTCACTACAGACCTATCTCATATTTTCAAGATGTTTTGCAAGTGTCTTTCATGTATTTATTCAAATAATTTCTTTGCTCTTTAAATTAACTATTTTACAGGGCAAGCCATGCATACTTTATGAATACATTTTAAAAACTATGTATATATGCATATATATGTATATGTATATGTATCTGTATATATATATATATATATATATATATATATATATATATATATGTATGTATGTATGTATGTATGTATGTATGTATGTATGTATGTATGTATGTATGTATGTATGCATATATGCATGTATGCATGTATGTGTGTATGTATGTGTGTGTATGTGTGTGTATGTGTATGTGTGTATATATATGTATATATATATATATAATATATATATATATAATATATATTATATATATATATATATATATACATTATTATATATTGTATATATATATATATATGTGTAATATATATATATATATATATGTGTGTGTGTGTGTGTATATATATATAATATATATATATATATATAATATATATATATATATATAATATATATAAATAAATATATAATATATATATATATATATATATATTATAGTATATATATATTATATATATTATAATAATATAATATATATATAAATAAATATATTATAAATATTATAATAAATATATATAATAATATATATATATATATAATATATATATATATATATATATATATGTATAATATATATAAATATAATATATATATATGTGTATATATAT